AATGCATGTGATATCTAATAAATTATATGTTTTATATAACATGTGTATAAAAATTGAAGAACTGAATTATAGAATCCAAAGTTTGAGAATAATTAAGTAGATGTTGAAACACATTCAGTTGATTTATGATCCGAGATGTTTTGGATGAATTTTGAGTTTTAAATCAGCCCAAATATCTCCTTGTAACCTCCCTTGATATTCCAAATATACCCACCCAAGGGAATGCTAGTTGTCCCCCTTAACACTGAGAGCTTTGATTGTGTACCGTTTTTTAGTGTTATAGTGAGGAGACCTGTACATAGTGAGCTCGAGAGAGCTTGATATATTTAGTCAATAATCCACGAGAAAGGAGAAATTGAGGAAGGTGTTACTCATAAAATTAGAGCTTGGTGGACGAAATGGAGATGCATTTTTGGATTCTCATGTGATCGTCGCATACCAATGAAACTGAAAGGGGAAGTTTATAGGCCGGACGGTTGTAAGACCAGCCATAATTTATGGGATGGAATGTTGGGTTATCAAGAAACAACATATTATAGAATGAGTATAGTTGAGATCATTGTTCAAATAAATGGTCCACCCAACGCCTAGGCATTGAAAGGATCTTATGGTGCATGCCTAGGCCTCGATGGCCCTCCCTGAACGTCAATACCTTGGTGCCAGCCCTGGCGATCTAAGTGGGTGCACTGTGCCCAGTCCTTGGTAGGCACCTAGGTATTGGGCCCTTTTTTTTGAGATTAAAGTAATCCCAAGGGCACTTGGGTCATTTTGGCCAACTAATTTTACATAAATGACTATGGGGATATTCTTTTTTTTTTACCATCGTATGCCTCCACAGGGGCGACTATGGGGATATTCTAAACTGCCAAAGTGAAAAACATTTCAAATCTAAGCCCTCAAATTGATTGATTTTGAGATATCTTTGAATTGAAAAGGAATCTATGTTTGAAGAAGCATCCAAAAGCGTACTCTTCACTTTCGGAATTTCTTTTAGGTTATTGGTGAAGGTTTTTGAAGACTTTTGCGAGGTGAGTTCTAGCTTGAAAGATATATAAACATTGAAGAACAAAGACCGGGCAAAAAGTTGGTTTACAATCAATATTTGAGATTTCTTTTTTCAGATTTTAGATGGCTTCCTTGCGGTCTAATAGGAGTTGGGATTAGGGATGGAAGTATTATGTTAACCAGGATAAAAAAGACTACACAAAGTTATGTGCAATTTTTGTGTACTTTTTTGAATCCCGGGATAAATAAATTTAAGAAACATCTTGCCAGTATTAGAGGAAATATTGCCCCATGTGAAAAGTTCCCGATCTTGTAAAGAACAAGAATTTTGACTACATGGAAAACTGAAATAAAAGATTAACAAAGGAGAAGGATATAGAATAAATGCAGAATTGAGGGTTGGCGTTAATATTTTTGATGATGAAAAACATTGATGAGGATGATGAAGGGGGAGAGGAGGTGGGCTAGGTGGCAGTATCTCAGAGTTCTAAGAGGCATTAAATAAAAGGGCCCTTTGATTTTGTTTTTTACACCTAACTCGAAGACTGCAGTTGAGAAAGTGAAAGGGTAAGGGGAAGAAGCGACACTAGAAAAGAGATAAAGAAGGAAAATCGAGGCTAAGTAATTTAGTATATTGCTAGTTGGTTTTATCATGCTGTCATTTCTTTTAATAATGCTCGTTTAAGTGGCTTCCATACAATGTTAATGCAATTGGCCAATTTGGGCTAGGGTTGAATGGCCCAACCCCTTATGAGATTTCAAAGCCACTATTGAAGAAAGAGGTAGAACGCACTACAAATGGGTGGCTCACTTTGGGGTTTACATGAGGATGGGTGGGCGCAGTTTAGGGTTTCTAGAATGACTGATGCTTGCCCTTTGATTTTTTTTTTTTACACCAAACACGAAGTCTGCGGTTGAGAAAGTGAAAGGGTAAGGGGAAGAAGCGACACTAGAAAAGAGATATAAGAAGGAAAATTGAGGCTGGGTAATTTAGTATATTGCTAGTTGGTTTTATCATGCTGACATTTCTTTTAATAATGCTCGTTTAAGTGGCTTCGATACAATGTTGATGCAATTGGCCAATTTGGGCCAGGGTTGAATGGCCCAACCCCTTATGAGATTTTAGAGTCACTATTGAAGAAAGAGGTAGAACACACTAAGGATTGGTGGCTCACTTCGGGGTTTACATGAGGATGGGTGGGCGCAGTTCAGGGTTTCCATAATGATTGGTGCATGAAGTGATATGAGGGGGAATATCATGAACCTATTGGTGAATTGTCCCTTTGCTATAGTATTTTGACTTCCATTGAGGCTTTTGAAGAGGTTCAAATGTGTATTATATATTATCTTTAATTGATAAGGGCATTGAGGTTGGGGAGGAGCATATAATTCATTGGCGACTTGTCTAGTGTTAAAGGACACTTTCGAAGGCTAAGGAGGTCACAAAGTTCACATTCAGCCACACTATTACCCTTAACATGATATACAAGTTTACCAAAAAGGAGGAGCTAGTGAGGCCTGTGGTCATCAGTTTGCTACTACTCACCTGAGTGGCTGAGTCTTAAGAGCATATATAGCAAGAGGATCCCATTGAGATCTATGTTCACTTCATAGGATTGGAATGGTTTAGGTGGTCTAGAGAGTTTTTTGATTTGGGATGAACCACTCACTAGCAGTTTTCTACCCTTGGTCGAGGTCTTACTCTTGGCTGATGCTCACAAGCCCTCTATGGGCCTTATATATGATATATTAGAAGGAGCTAAGGAGGAGATGGCAGAGAATTTGGGCAACATGATGAGGCCAAGTATGGCCCAATTTGGGAAATTGTAAATGAAAGTGGAATGGGCAGCTTTATAGATCATTTGCATGTAGTTGGATACTATTTGAGCCCAAAGTTCTTTTATGCTGACCTAGATATGGAGAGGAAATATACAATCATGGATGGATTTAGTGAGTGCCTTGAGAGATTAGTTCTCAACACTGAAATCCAAGATAAAATGTCCATTTGAACTCATTTTGTATAAGTGTGCTTGAAGTCGTTCAGAAAAGAAATCGCAGTGAGACGAAGGACAAATTAGATCCAGGTAAAATATATTTCATTTGGAAATGTTTTTTTGAGTTCCTAATGACTAATGTTGTATCTTAAATTTGCTAAACTTCTATATGAATTATGACAATGTTAAATTAATTATGGAAATTGCACCCAAATTGCAGCCTGCATGGGAGTGGTGCTCCAAACATGTAGAGATTGCTATTTGGGTTTGAGTTTAATAACTAGCTCTGCTAGTTGTGAGAGGAATTGGAGTTTGTTTGAGATGTCATTTTAGTTCTTTTTTTGTTTAGTTCGTTTCTTTTTTAGTTGTTTTTGAAAAAGTTAGTTAGAATACACATAAATGAAAAAATACGAAATTAACACAAATATTTACATATATGTGCTTTTGAACAACACATATATGCAATTTTCTAAAGACTTTTCACCTCGGGGCGCCCGCCCAATGCCTAGTCGCTAGGCGTCGGGCCGACCGCCTTGCGTTTTATGAAACATTGACTGAGGATGAGGATGTTGAGATGGATGAGTGGCAAGTGAAGGCAGGATAAAATTAAAAAAGAATACATTTGAGGGTCCTTAAGGTTAGCTCCAATAGGCAAGAAAATGAGAGAAAGTAGATATAGCTGGTCTAGGCATGTGCAATGTTGACCTAGAACAACACCGGTTAGGAAGGATGATTTATTTTAGGTGGAAGACTCTAGGCAAGGGGAAGGCCCCAAAGGATATAGATAGAAGTATTGGAAAAACATATGTTGACTTATGATTTGACTGAGCGTATGGCTTTTTGATAACACGGAATGGTGGAACGGGTTTCGTGTGGCTGGTCCCAAATAGTTGGGATAAAGCTTAGATGATGATGATGACGACAGGAGAATTACATAGACCCTCCACCTTGCATTTTCTACACATAGATACCCGATACCCCCGATACTTTTTTATTCACACCATAAACCTTTTTATTTTGTCATTTTGGATGAAAATACCCTATTTAGTCAAATACATAAAATTTCAAGTTTAAGGCCAATTCATCCTTGGGGAAAGTTCTTGGAGCCGAGGTCAGTCAGGTCCTCCAAGGGTTGAACCTGCCTTAAATTTAAATTATTTTTATTTTTAATTTTTTGATCTTTAAATTTTTAATCTTTAATTTTTTAATTTTTTGTGTTTGACTGATAGGGGTATTTTTATCCAAAATTACCTAACAACTTCACCTTGGGCAGTCAATGCAAAAAGAGAATAGTAACAAGTTTTATGATTTGAATACAGGGGATTTTATGTGTAGGAAGTTTGTGGAAGGGTGATCCATGTAATTTTCTCTTAATATGATGGGTGGGGTGCCCGCTCAAACACCTCAATTGGTATGCAATTTAATGTGTGCATTTCTTAAGTGTAACTTCATACAGATCTGCCTTAATGATGAGTTAGTTTATCATCATATCTTACGCTTGGTATGCAATTTAATGTGTGCATTTCTTAAACTGTAACTTCATACAGATATGCCTTAATGATGCATTAGTTTATCATTATATTCTAATGTTGCATATGTTTTCTCTTGGATATGTATGCTAGGTATTTTATGTAACTTGATGCATGCTTAGTCAATATAGAATTTAGAGTTACACATTTGGTGTCTTAATATTATATTTGATACATTCACAATTTAATATATTATAAAAAAAAAAGTTTCCGTATATATGTGTTCATCTTTCTCTGCCTTTGATGCACTTATAAGTAAATGTTATTCGAGTATCGAATTTATTGTGCTAGTAGTTGAATGTCGTCTGCGAGTGTAGTCCCCATTTTGTGAAAATTGAGTTGGAGGTTGATTTTGGGAGATCTCAAAATTTGATTAGCATGCTAGTTTGTACAAGCAATTTTCTTTAACTAATATCTATCTTTTCTTTATCATGTTATGTTCCTCTCGTATATCTTATGAGCTGAGGCTTTTGAAAATACTGCCTTTCAGTTTCCCGAATTGAAGCACGCAGCGAGCAGTTTGATATGTTCATGCAGTTAGATGTTAATACAGAGGTATATCCTCTTAATGTGGGTGACAAATTTACAATGGTGCTGGCTCCAACTCTGAGCTTGGATGGGACACCTGATACTGGTTACTTTACTCAGGTATATGCATCTGCATTTCACCTTCTTTGATATGTCAATCCTTCGCTTGATATATTCCTCAACGCACAACTATATGCTCTAGTGGGCTTAACTATAGCTTGTATGTCGCTTGGGAAAGACGCGAGGGCAGCATCGACAGGGGGGCAGAATAGAGTCGACAGAGGAAAGGCCTACATCGGGTGACACCTGTACGGCGGTGGCTCGTCCACCAAAAGGTAATACAACCAAGGGGCTTGATTCCGGCGGGATCATCACGATCGCCGACGAAGCAGTAGGAGAGAGAGGGGGTCCTCAAGAAGCTCCTCCGTAGGAGGACACGCGTCCAGGGGGGCCGCCTCAGCAGGACACGCCATCGACAAGGGTTGTACCAAGGCAGTACAGGTGACGGTGGAGTTGGCATCCTTTGGGGCCTGTGATGGGTCACACCCTCCCGATGGCGCTGTCTTGACAGGGCACGCGTCCACCGAGTAGATAGCCACTCCTGCAGGGGCACACGTGTGAGACCCATCGACCTGGGTAGAGGGGTATGATGCCAACGGCTGGGAGAGAGCGAGATCAGTCGGGTCTTGGATGTAGCCCGAGACCCGACCACTGAGCTCGTCGATATTGGAATAAGATGGGCTCGGGTCGAGGGAGAGCCCAAAGGAAGACACACTTCCTTGCCCAACCTTTGCGTAGAGGCGAAGGATGCTACCGGGGGATGGGTCAAGGTACCTGGCTCACACGAATTCGGGTCGACGTTCAGACGTCTGTCGGTGGCCGTCGTCTTTTCTTGTGTTGACGACGTTTCCTGGTCACCTTCGTCTAGCCTTCCATCTGGGCTTTAGGGAAGAAACCTTGGGGGTTGTTGTGCAGGAAAAACCGGGAAGGGGGAGAAGAGTAGGACCAAGATAGATGGATGGGGTAGAAGTGGTTATGGACCTCTAACCAAATAATCTTGGGAAGGGCGAGGGGGTCTAAGAGTTCAACAAGATCTCGAATCACACCTTTGGGTAGAGTTTCAAGGGAGATCCAATGGATAGAAATCAAGAACCCACATTCGGAAGCCAGGCGCCTGAAAGTTTTTGGGCACCAGGCATGAAGAGGTATATGGCGAAAGGTGACCCAAACCTTTTGCTTCTTGACTGAGCCATCTAGCGGGGACCATTGTCGAAGGTGAGGGTGCACGGATCTTGAAGCGCTGCAGTAGCCTCATGGACGGTCAGGAACGAGAAGAGGATATCTCCACAGGATAGATTTTGCGAACACTGGTCGATTTTGCGAACACTGGTCTATATCCTTGCACAACATAAAAGGAATAGTGAGAGTTTGTGGTAGTGTAAGGTCAAATTTCAGTTAGCTCATACTTCACAAACTTTATTTGGGTTCTAGGTCCATTATGTAAAATTCCAATTGTTGCTCGCTTCTCACTTTATTCTTTACATCTTTGTATTTCACATTATTACACCTTTAGCCTGTGTCAACCTGCACCTTGTTTTTTGTGTGTGCCATCACTATGACCTGTATCAACATTTCTTGACTGTCCTTTGAAACATTATCCATTTCTTAAATACATGTTCATGTTTCAAAATGTTAGAACCTTGGTTCCATCCTAAAGTCCTATTGACATTTTTGACATTAAAGGTCCTTGGCATTTCTTTGAAACTGTTAAACATCTTGTAAGTCTGTCACTTTTCATGGAAAGTAGGAAGAGATGCTGTTTATACTTCCTATACATGTCAGACTTTCTGTTGGAACTTGGATAAATTAACTGGTGTTCCCATCTTTCTTTGAACTTTATGGATTTTTAATCTACACAAACTTTAATTTATTGATCTATTTTCCCAATTGGCCATTTTAGCTGTCATGTGGGACACCTGAACAGGTGTTTTGCTTCTTCTTTATCTTTTTCAATAGATCACTATTTCTTTAGATCCAGGAGGTTCATTAGTTCAATTTAGATGAGGAATATCGTTTTCAATAGATCACTTTGGAGTATAATGCAAGTCTTTACGCATTTTATGCACCATTTGTCCTCTTTCTGATTTGTATTTTGTAAAGTTCGGCTCCTCATTTGATTGGTAAATTTTGGAGTTGCGCTCTGAACATTATGTCCTGGACTAAGAGTTCCATATCAGTAGGCTGCTAGGTACTTCTTATGTGTACTTTTTTGTGATAATGCTCAAAAATACCTTTTTGAAGAGCCCCTTGGTACTTGTCAAAATACCTTTTTGAAGAGCCGCTTGGTACTTCTCAAAATACCTTTTTGAAGAGCCACTTAGTTTTCACACTTTTTTATTTCTTATTGGGGAAAAAATGTTTTCTCATTAAATATCTCCTGTCAAGGTTGGTATATTTTTACTTAAACATACAATTAAAGTTGTCTTTGATTTTCTCAAGCATAAACACGTGCACATAGTCGCATGATTAATTTCCTCTTCAGTGAAGATGAAGTATTTTTGGGATTAGTCCTGATTACATGTAACTGTTCTCATGAACTGTTCACCACAATTAACTAGGAAATAAGGTTATTTTTTATTTGTTCTCATGAACTGTTCACCACAATTAACTAGGAAATAAGGCTATTTTTTATTGTTCAAAATAAAATTTTAAACCTCTGCAAGAAATACATACTAGAAAACTGGATGACAAGATTAATAAGATTGTTAACCTTTTCTTCAAAAGAATATATTGATTAATGAGAAAGCACCGCAAAGAGAAGATTGTATGTTAAATGCTAACAAGGCTAAAGCAAGAACAACACCACAAGAAACTTAGGCAAAAAAAGACAAAATCCGAGTTGTGCACTTCAAGTCAATGTTGGTCAGTGCATAATGCTCTCGCAATGCCAATCCCATTGCGTCACATTGTAGTTGGCTCTGTAGTAGGTTCAATGATTCAAAAAGCGGACCGCCTAGTGCCTAGGCGGTCCAGAAGGCTTGGGCGCATCGCGCAGGCCTAGGCAGCCAATCTGGGCGGTAGTCCTTGGCGGGCGCTTGGCGCCCAGCCCAAGGTGGCCATCTAGAGCTTGCGCTCCGCCTAAGCGGTACGTAACCTGCCTGGGCAGCCGCCCTGCCTAGAGGCACAATTTTTTATTTATTTTCAAAGTTGATAAAAATTGATCAAAACATCACCCATTGATATTAGATTTAATTGATGTTTTATAAATTGATCAAAACATCACCTGTTGGGGGGTATTTTAGAAGATTTTGAGTCCTTTGAAGCATCTTTGACTGGATATCTTTTTTGGATTTGACTGGGCTGTTCAGGTTCTGGGCACCCGCCTAGGCGTTGGGCGGCCTGGACCTCCCATGCCGCCTAGGACCTGCTTAGCACTTTTTGAAACTATAAGTATGTTGCATACTTTTTATCTCTTGGGACTCTATTGCACTGCTGTTTGCATTTCTTCGCCAGAGGTACCATGCTTTTCATAGGATCTCAACCTTGTAGCCATTTCATCTTCACACTATTTGTCTCCCTCTCTCTATCTATATTTTTAAAAGGATTCAATAATTCATCGAATACTGTCTAATTTGTATCTGGTGCATTCAAAGGCATGCAGTTCTGTTGGATTGGATTATAGGCAAACATTTTGAGACAATGGTAGTGCATTCCATAGATCCTTTTTATGTGGTGTCCTTGGTGTTAATGCACAAGGAACCTTTTTTCTTGTACATATGTGCTAGATGAGCACTTTCTAGCTGCACCTGGACAAATCATTATCTTAGCCATAAAGTTTCTTTGTTATCTAAGTTATGTTTATCTATCTTAAATTTTAAAAATGACTATATTTCTCAAATTATGATTTCACAGACTAATAGATTTGCTTGTGATATTGTCCTAAGGCTAGATCGTAAATAGTGTGTGATGTTTCTGCTATCCAGGGAGGGCGTAAATCACTTGCAGACAAATTTGAGTATGTTATGCATGGAAAGCTGTATAAGATCTCCGAAGATTCTGGAACCAACGTCAAAGTGTAAGTCTTCTGAATATTTTTATATTAAAGCTATAAGATTGTTGCACTAGATTGTTACATTTAAAGTTTGAAATGTGTTGAGTGGTCTAGGAGTTTGGAATTTTCTGTTCTTGGCATAATCTTTAGCCTGCGTGCTGTTTCATTGGCAATTCATGCTAATTTTGAGTTGATTTCATGTGATTCAATTCATTGTGTTGTTATATTTATTATGTACAATAAGTAGGATATGTGAAGTTAAGAAGGGGGGTGGTTGATATATGGTTTGTATATTTGTTTTAACGATTTAGTCTTTACTGAGTGAGTATGTTGCGTTCTATCCGAATTCCCTTTCACTTGTTTTTCTCCTTATTTTGTGCTGTGAACTTATATGAAGTGAATGTATGAAAATACCTTTGGGAAGAATTAAAATAAACCATTGTTAATATTTTCCTTGATGTCAGAGCTTTTCTCTATGCTATTGAATTTCTGAGGCATCAGTACTATTAATTGTGCATATTGTGCTTTTGGACAGCTCAGAAGCATTGTACTTTTTTACTATATTTATATAATAATCATCAACTGATGAATGAATTGTGCAATTTGATCCTTAGAAACTAGTGCATAATATTTTTGAACTCAGAAATCTGTTCGGGCTTTGCTGAGATTCCAAGTTGAGTTTTGGATGATGTTACTCAGTTTGTTTACTGTTATGTGGAACTCAATTTATGGTCATGACTCATGAAACCCTCACTTGATATAAGGAACCAACTGGCCATGGTGTGCTCGCACGCCCACACCTATACTTGGCCAGTAGACAAAAATGGAACACTCATTATATTACAATGGAATGGCTCATGTATCATTCTAAATGATATTTAATATGTAAGCTATCGAGGCCACAAAAATTCGAGGGGCCTTAGCTTATATCCATGTGTAAATATTGTCAAGTTCTTTATGGAGGAGGTCGTCAATCTCAAGATAAATATGTTTTTGGAGTCTCTATGTGTTGTTTTGTGATTTGTGATAATAGTGATCTCAACATGCATAGATGTGATAAAGTAAAACCAAAAAAAAAAAGCCATGCGTATGTGATATAAATACACGCACACACACACACACTGCATAATAGATATGATATTTTGCCTTCTAAACTTTCACAACATCAATTCATCTGCAAAAATGCAAAGGCCTCTAAAGTTTGCTTTTGTGGATTTTAGTCATTTAGCGGAAGTCAGTAATGGGGGGAGACAATGTTATTTCAATTTCTGAGGGTATTGTTCGTAGTTCTTCATAACATAACAGAACTCACATTTTAGATATTTTCCCTTTTTAAAACACCTCTTATCTATTTTGTAAAATAATGTGGCAAAAGGGTATTTCCTAGCAGTGTTCGCAAAACCGGCCAATTTAACCGCTAACCGGCCGGTTAGATCGGAACTGGTCAGCGCTTGGTTTCGGTTTTGGCTGGTTTTTGTGGTCACCCAGTATTTTAAACTTGAAATATAATAATACATCATATTTATATCAAATACGTTGGAATGACGTATTGGTTAGCTTTGACGAGTGGTTTCTATATAAATCGGGGTTCAATTCCTACTGCCAGCATTTTAAAAACCCATGAATTAATTGCTTCAAAAACCATATGCGTTTTTCTTTAAAAAAACCTTGAATTGGTTAAAAAACCATATGCCATTTAGATCCCCATTTACTACTTAGTTGATAAAAATAAAGGTTTATATTATATATAACATAATTTTTTCTTCATTTTCTTTTAAGAAAAAAATGGCATTTTTTTTTAGAAAATATCTTTTTCTTTTAAAAAAAAAGATAAGAAAATATCATTTTTTTAAAAAAAGAAAGATCATTTTCTTTAAAAATAAGTGTTGGTCAAGTCGATTTTTTTAACACTATTTTAATATTCTTTACATTATTGTAAAGATTAAAAAATATTTTGGTCATTGACACTCACTTTTATATTTTCCTATCTTTTTAGAAAATTTTAAAAATACCCTTAGGCACAAATCAACTAGTTAAAATCTATTTTTTCATTAAATTTCAACTTCATTTGAGTGTGTTTTGTTTTAAGCACATTCTTTTATGTTTTTCATATTTTAGTAGATTTTTTTGTGTCTTTTTTATGTTTTTAATTGTTCCGGACTTGCTTGGATAGAGCGGTTGAATTGGCAAGTTTATCGGTTAGGCCAGTTAAATCGCTTCCAGGCTTATGTCGGATTAACCGTTCCGATTCGATTTTGCGAACATTGCTTCCAAGTCATGGTTTAAATCATCGTACTCATTAAGAGTACACATCAGATATATCTATTTTTTTATGTATTTTTTTCTCTTTTGGATATCTTGGTCATTTCCGTAGTGCACTTGGCAATTGACCAACTTAAGTATTTTGGTCATTCCTTTATTATGTTTCTGGTACTATAAGTATTTTTTATTTTAGTAGATGGGTTGATGGTTGTACTAGTTCGTCACTAAGAAATTTCATTACACTGAAATAAACTCGATACTGTACTTTCTGCTCCTGAGCAGCAGAGACATCTGAATTTGTTGGGAATTTGCTGGCAAGTACATTATGAACTACTAGTTCTTTTCTAACTCTTATACATGTTTTCTGCTTTTACTCTCTCTCTCTCCCTCTGTGTGTGTGCGTGCGTGCACACGTGCGTGTCTGTTTGTGGATTGCTCAGTGAATTCAATGTGGTCACTAAATCGCAGTTAAAGATAGTTTTTGCTCCTTAGGGAGTTGCATTAAATGGTCAGATGAGCATGTTGAGATGGTCAACAAAACCTAGATGTTTTAAACTTGTTCCAAATGATCTCTGCCACTTTTATACTTTGAAGCAGTGGTTTTGATATTTATTTTTGCGATTGTGTAGTTGAATATATAGCAATTAGATCTCCTTTTGACTGAAGGCTCATTATGTTTAGCTTTTGTGCAGAGAGATCTATGCATCATTTGGTGGGCTTCTAATGTTATTGAGGGGTGATCCTTCTAATGCGGTTAATTTTGAGCTGGATCAGAGATTGTTTCTTCTGATGAGGAAAGTCTGAGTGGCATATTGTGTTAATATTACAAGCCTTTTGATGATCTTTTAAGATCTGATGGGAATTACTTAATCTTCGTGGGAAGATCTTACTGTATACTAAAGGCATTAGTAGCCTTATGAACTTCTACTATAAGATAGGAAATACTTGATTTTATTTGTACCCCAACTTCGTATCTGTGTTTGGGCGCATGCATGCGCAATTGTGGATGGGTGGTGCATGGTTATATATAGTACCATGTTGCCGCCCTTTAAATACATACTCGAGAAAGAGAAAGTAATGAAAGGAAATCGGGAAATTTGACTACTATTTAGATTTTACTTTTAATTATATAAACTGTAACGAGCATTTAACAAAGATATGAAACCAATTATGGTTCATACAATTTGGGAGAACCTTGTTCAAATTAAAATTTTGGTGACTTCAAATTTTTTATTTTTTTATTTTTCTCGTATTTCGTTTGGTTGATTGGTTTGTAACTATGGGAAATCAATGACTGCCAATGAAAGCATATTAAACAGGTTTGTTGTGCTGGTTAATTTTTTAAACGTTGTCAATAAATTGAGGGGAAATGTTGAATAACACCAATAAGCAGCGTGGCCATTATCCACCTGAAGAGCTTAACAAGTGATGATGAGTCGACTTTTAGTTAATTAGTTAATTTTTGACGGTATGATGCAAAGGTAATAAAAAGTTGGGAAATTATTAGAATATACATTAATTTTTGGCAAATTAGAAAATTGTATGCTTTTCTAAATCTCATGCGTACCTTTTTTTCTCATTTTTCGTGTTTTTTTTTTTTTTTAGCAAAATAGTAATTGCATTAAAGTACTTTGATGAATTTAACATGTTTTACCGCCCTTAAAGTGCGGTGATTATATTAGACAAGATCTAAAATTAGAGAGTAGAAAAAACATGGAAAAAACAGTAGGAGCTTATGACAGCGAACTCCTGGCATGTGATTGAATCTCGATCTCATGTGCCTACGTGCTCAGAGAAAAAAGCTTCTCTCTCTCTCTCTAGACTTTTAGACTTCTCTTGCACTGGCTCTCTGCTCCTTTTGCAGGCCACAAAGTTTGCTTTTATTGCGACTTGAAGCTTTTCTCTTCTTTTAAGCTTTAGAAGTTTTTGATATAAGCCGTATACTGCAGGGGATCTCAAGCACGTTTATAGAGAAATCAAAAGAGATACCTTTCTCTCTCTAAAACACATGTATTAGCTTTCTCAATCATCTCACTTTTCTTCTCTTACTAACAACTGTAATCTTCTCACTCCATAAACACGATATGTAGATCTCTGAGTCTCTTCTCTCTTCCCTCTCCACCAAGTCGTGATCTCTCTCTCTCTAATTTGGAATGTTGTTAGGCATCTTTGTTTGCTTTCTCTCTAGCCACAGTATCTCTTTACAAGAATTGCTCTATCACGGTCTTTCGAGTGTCATAGTACTCCTAGTCCTCATGGCATTTTAAATGCCTTATAATCTGTGCTAGTCACCATGTACTTAAAGTATTGTGATGCCAATCTATAACCTCTAATTGTCATCACGACACTTTAATACCGTGATGCATAGGGCCTTCATGGTAATACGACTACCGTTGATGCTATTTTGGTCTAAAAATCATCAAAAATGAAAAAAAATATATGAACAAGGTTTGTGAAAGTACAGATTTTTTTTTTTTTTTTCTTAATTCGTCAAAAGTTAAAGTATATTTTTGATAATTTCTCTAAAATGCTTAATTTAACAAATATGACATGACAGTGAGCTGTTTTTTGGGTTTGTCTTGGCATTCTCTTACACTGAATCTAATTGGTTTTTTTTTTTTAATTGCTCTATTCCCAGCAAGGTTTGGATCCTTTTCCAACTTTTTAATGAGTTGATTGAGCTCATGGTTTGATGTTTTTCTCGTTAACCAATGAACTTGGGGAGGACCAAGGCCCTGTCCGGCCCTATGTTTCCTTTTCTTTTCTTTTCTTTTTGTTCTTCTTTTATTTTTTTTTCTTCGAGTGAATTAGGTCCAGCCTGAGCTAGGGTTGGGATGGCTTAGGGCGTTTGTCAGGCCCCGGCTGAGTTCGGGCTGGCCCTTTAAAGACTAGGGTTGAGCTGGCTTAGGGCTCTTGTCAGGGCAGGCCCCAGTTCGAGCCGGCCCTTTAGAGAACAGGTCCTGGGTAGGGGTAGGGTTTGCCCGGCTCGATTCGGTCCTAGCCAAAATGATGGGAGGAGGCACAAAGTAACATCATTTCCTTATGACTTCCCAGCACAAAATGGCTATTTTTACATTCCCTTGTTTTCCAAAAGGACTTAGCAAGCACTTTGGAATTAATGGACAAATCTCAAGCGGATGCCTTGAGTAAGAAGTGCAGAGAAGTGAAAAATAGAGAGAATAATGATGAAGATGAAAATATAATCCATATATATCAAAAGCACACAAGAAAAAAAAAAATGTTGGATGCTACTCTGTAGAATTATAGCGATGGATAATATCGACCACATGCGATACGCATCAACGGTGGGGAGTAAGGTCCTATATAAGTCCGACTACTCTTGCCCTAACGGTATTAGTAATAACAAGGAATTATTACGAGCTTCCATCATGGTTGGACTTTGTTTTGCCTCACTTGATATTTTGGACGCGTTAACCTCTTACCTCTTAGGCAAATTAGTTTTGGACTTTGCTAGGGGATTTTTAAAGATGGGATTGAACATTTTTCTTTTGTACATCGACATTACAATCATTTTCATGCATTAGATGTCAAATTGGATGGCTTGAGGTAAGTCACGAAGTCTGAATTAATTTTTTTTATGGAACTTTGTGTATACCTTTACAACTACCTTTTTTTTTGTTTTGTTAATGTAATCTTGACCATTGGATGTGTAACTGGGTAGCAGTAATTATTTCATTGACCAAGCTCAAACTTCAAAAGAAATTTTTTCGAACTTTATGACACTTTCATGCTATCAAACATCACATCGGATGGTTGTAAGTAATTGTGATCATTTTGTATTAAAGGTAAATAATCTCTTTGTAGACAATCCCTTTAAATATAATGCAAGACAATGGAGCATGGATATTTATCTATGGCTTACACACATTTAATCCCATGAAGTAAATGTTACTCCATAAAATCACATTTTGATAAGTAAAATTGGTGTAAAAATAAGGAAAAATATAAAAAGAGACCCTTCATTTTTTATCCAAGGAGGTCACAATCACTCTCGTTCATTGGATTTCAAATTGGACTACAAGTTCACATTTTTTTTTCTCAAACTTCGTAACTAGCCTAAGCCTTCCAATTTGATATCCAACAGTATGAGTGATTGTGATCTCATTGTAAAAAAGATAAATGGTCTCATTGTATACAATCCCAAAAAATAATGAAAAAATATGCAGTTAGAATATTTACATTGGTTTGATACAAGAATATCATACTCACCCTTAAATGTTGAATATAAAGTCGTGCACCAGGAGTTATGTTATTGGTCAGGTGTACAACCCAAAAAGAATTTATTTGTACTTTGTGACATCCCAAGCTGTCAGATTTCATATCTAGCAGGCATGAGTAATTGTAACATAGCATAGGTCAATAGTTTTATTGTACACTATCCAAAAAAATTCATATGAAAAGAAGATTTTGCTCGAACTAGGACATCAAGGTCCAATTGAGCTATGAGCTTGAATTGAGGTTGGGAATTACGCTTTCGAACTGACATGTGTCTATCTCGAGTCGAGGTCAATTCGATCCTGACATTTATATGTGTGTACGGAAAAGGCTTCCGAACACCTATAGGCAAATAGTAACAGTAATTTCGCTTACCCCTTGTCCACTGTCAATTTAAATTGAAATAAATGAAAGGTCGTGAATGCCTCAAAAATCTTCAAACCTAATATATTTTAAACCAACACCCTCCTTCTAACACAAAACTCAGCGAACTTCTCTTTCTTTCGCTCGCCTTCTCCTCTGCTATGCAAAAGGTCGCCTCTCTCTCGTTCGCCATCTCTTTTGCTTTGCAAAGCTCACACCTCTATCGCTCGCTCTCTCCTCTTTGCACTCTCCTCACGATCGCCCTCTCGAATCTCAACAAAGCTTTTGGCAGCAACATACGCCACCCACAACAAGCAAAGTTATTTAGCATCAATCGGTGAGTGACCTCCATTGATGCTGAAGAACTTTGCTCTAGAAGCTTTGTTGAGAAAAGAGAGGGCGACCGTGAGGAGAATGTAAAGAGGACAGAGTGAGCGATAGAGATGCGAGCTTTGCAGTGCAAAAGAGTGGGCGAGCGAGAGAGAAGCGACCTTTTGCAGAGCAGAGGAGAAGGCGAACAAAAGAAAGAGAAGTTTGCTGAGCTTCGCGTAGGAGGGAGAGTACTGATTGAAAATATGTTAGGTTTGAAGTTTTTTGAGGCAATCACGACTTTTCATTTATTTCAATTTACATTGACAGTGCACATATGGTAGGCAAAATCACTATTACTATTCGCCTATAGGCCTCGTTCGGAAGCCTTTTCCATATATATATATATATATATATATATATATATCCTCTCAACCCACTAGCTGATGGAATAACATAAGCTCAATGGCCCAGATTGAATCTGGGTCAATTTAATAATCACAAGAGTATTTCGTATTTATATTTTAATCTTTTTTAAAATCTAAATTACTTGAAATTTGGAGCATCCACTCTTAACATCAAGGCTCATCTAATGAAAATATTATTCACAAAAAGTAAATTAATAAAAATACCCTAGTAACTTTAAGGGTATTTTAGTTATTATAAATTATTTTCAATAATTTATTTGGTTCTTCTATTTTCCAAGAGGTTCCGCTCAAATTTCAAATGAATTAGATTTGTAAAACCAAATTTAAAATTTAAATACCAAATG